TCTTTTTAGTCCTCAATTTCTTTTTTTTTTATTAAATGATAACTGTGTACATTAATGTAATCATGGAGTACAGTGAGGTGTTTTCATATTTAATTAAATATTTTCATCAAACTGGTTAACATAGTCTTTATGTCATTTTCTTAGTTATTGTGTTAAGATGTTTATATTCTACTTTTAGAAAGAATCACTTGTACCCTTGTAAGACAAAGCATAGAGGTACCTTAACTCTTTTAAAACATTAGTTAGCTAAGCTCTTGTGCTAAGCAGTATCAGTAAAATTTTAAGTTTGTTGCTGTATATTTTTATAAATATTTTCTAATTATTAAAATCACTATATGATTAAGTAAAATTAAATTACAAGTTTAAATTAAATAAATTATAAGCCTTGTATACACATAAATAATTTTGAATATTACACTTTGGTAACACTGTTACCAATAGCATACAGTATCATTTATAAAAGGAAAATAATTACTATCCAACATCAAAAGTTATAAGAAACACATGAGACAGCATGTAAAAGCACTTTGTAAATTGGAAGGTACTTTACATACACAGGCACACACACATAACAGTTCTCCCCTTCATAGATTTTAAGAGTAGAGCACAATAGATTGTTTTGGTATTGGCAAAAACAAAACAGTAACAAGGGGTTTGGGTTTTTGTTTGGTGTATGTGTACCTGAAAGGCAAAAGAGTATAGCATTGAGTTTTAAAAAATTAATAGAAAGTCAATATTTAAAGGACATAAATGCTTTTTTAGTTTTATAATCTTTTCCCTTTAGCAAAAAGGGGTATAGGAAAGCTGTACTGAGAAACCAGGTTTTTCTATTCAATAGCAATTTGAGATAAAGAGGCTACTAAAACTAACAAGTACTTGACTGTTTGGAATTTATTACTTCAAGGCAGCTAATTCAATAGCTTTCTGGTTGACACAGTTACAAGATGTTGCCTGAATGTACTTTCTTTCCCTGTGATTTCCTATGGGTAACTATCTACCGGGTACCTATAAATGCACTGCAAACTTATGGTATCTTAAGAAAACCTGAATTGAGACTTCTGTTCTTAAGAGCATATTAAAAACAAAACTACCACCACAAAAGCACCTTTGAGTAATCTGGAATTTAACTGTTAGGTAAGAAGCTGTAAAAACAGGGATGGTTCATTCCACTGGCAATGGTATAGCTATAGAACATAACAGCCAACGAATTATAAGAAATTGCACAAAGAAAACAGGGCATGCCAGGTCTATTCATATTTTATTGGTTAAATCTTACTTTCAGCCACTTCCTAATATATACTAGTCCTTTGCCTGGCATACAGTAGGTGGTCAAAAATAACAAAATAAATAAAATTGACAAAGTGAATTTAATCAATCCTAACTATCCCTTCTATTCATAATTAAAATCTTTACAGAATTATAAAGAGACTAGAATGTTGAATAAATAAAAAATAGATATTGCACTAGATTAGGAGGAAATAGAGGTGATTTTTGTTTCAAAATTATTTTTGTTGAAATATGTTCTTTGTATGAAAAAACTATATACTACTTTTTATATTTTTCCTTTTGGTCTTATGTGTTTTGACTTTATTTTCCAATTAGATTGTCAATCTGATGGCATCATATCATATGAATGCAGTGATTTCTTTTGAACGATAGTGAGTAGTTCAGTACATAACAAATGCTCAATAAAATTTTATTCATATATTATTTTGGAGTCTTTTGGTTAAGTTGTTCAGATTCCAACTTACATAGCAACAACCTTAGGAAGAGAATTTATATCCACTGACTTTCAAAAGGATCATCAAGGAAAATGAAAAAGACAGAAGAAAAAAGAGCAGGAATTCCCATTAGAAGTATCATCCTTTTGAGTTATCAATATTTGAGGGGGTGTGTATGGAGGTGAGCTTGCTATTTTGCCCAAGCTGGTCTTAAACTCCTGGGCTCAAATGATCCTCTGGCCTCAGCCTCCTTGGGTAGCTGAGATGCGCCTAGTGAAAATATCTTCCTTTTGACATAAAGCTATATAGGTTTTCCCTGGAAAAAATAATATTGCTTTGGGACAAAAAAGTCTGATACAGCAGTTTCACTGATACTACAATTAGTCATAGCGTGACTTTGCTAAGAACAGGCCAGCTCCCTGTTCCTTGCTATTATTTACTGGATATAAACAAGACTCATTGGGTTTAGCTTCATTAGAGTCTGATATAGTCAGGTTCCCATAAATGAATAACACTTCTGCTGTTAACAGTAAGAAAAGCCTGATTAAATCAATAACTAAACTTTTAGAGTCCCTGAAGAGGTTGGTCAGGAGAAGACTCAACAAATCCAAATGTGAAAACTGCAAGGTCATACCAATAGGCTTGTCAAATGCTTATTTTAAAAGGTCTCTTCAATTCAAATTTCTAAGGTTAGGGAACATGCTGAATCTGAACAACTCATAAGTAAATAAAGTCTACTATTTATATAATAAAAAGCAAATAATACATAAAAAACAAAATAGGAAGACAAGTGAGAAAAAAATTCAAATACAAGCTGAAAAGAGTCAAAATATTAAAAGAATAGTTTCCTGAAAAAGAATTATTCTATAAATTATTTCACTAGGATTTTATTTTCTTCCTACTCACTAGATGGAGAAGACTGCACTCAGTTAGTTACATGTTCAACAACGGCTGCTCCTTTGTGCTAAGACACAAATGGAATTTATATGGGACAAAGCCACTGATAATTACAGCTGCCTACAGAAAAATTCCCACAAAGAAATCTTCTAGTTTTGGAGAGAGAAGAATTCCCCAACACAATTTGCAATTAAAATCTGTAAAGGAATTTGCCTAAAAAATGTGCTGATTATATAGAACTTCAGAGGTTTCATGGGAGTGAGATGAGAAAAGCAAGCAAGAAATGGAAAGAATAATAATAATTATAAAACCCCCTAACAACATAAGTTCAAAAGAATGAACCATCAGCGTAGAAAAAGCCAGTGTAGAAAATCCATAAACTTGAACAATCAAAAGATAGTGATTTATACTTCAACTGATACAATGGTAACAGTACCAACAAAGGCATAAATAAACATAGATATTCAAAGGTGTGATAGGACATCTCACTATGGCTGTGCCTCACACTTCATGTGAATATAATACAGATACTTCCCAACTCATTAATGGTTGTGGCACAAAAATTAATTTCTTTTTTTTGTTGCCCTTGGCAAAGGGCCATGGTGTCATAGTTCACAGCAACTTCAAACTCTTGGGCTCAAGCTATTTTCTTGCCTCAGTCTCCTGAGGAGCTGGGACTATAGGTGCCTGCCACAAGGCCTATTTTTTCAGAGATGGGGTCTTACTCTTGCTCAGGCTGGTCTCAAACTCCTGAGCTCAAGCAATATGCCTGCCTCAGACTCCCAGAGTGCTAAGAACACAGGCATTATCCACTGTACCTGACCCACAAAATTTTTATTTTTTATTTATTTATTTTTTGAGACATGAGAGTTTCACTCTGGAGGCCTGACTAGAGTGATGTGGCATTATAGCTCACAGCAACCTCAAGTTCTTGAGCTCAAGGTGATCCTCTTAGCTCAGTTTTTCTATTTTTTTGTAGAGAAAGGGTCTTGCTACTGCTCAGGCTGGTCTTGAACTCCGGAGCTCAAGCAATCTACCCACCTTGGCCTCCCAGAGTGCTAGGATTGCAGGCGTAAGCCAATGTGCCCAGTCCTAAAAATTAATTTTTAAATTAGTTGTTTGGACACTATGCATTCTCTACCTCTCCCTCTCATCCATCCAGGCAGTGTTCTATTCATAACTCACATAACACATACTATGTACTTGTGATAGGTATTATATTTTCCTATAGGAAAAATGTTATAAATGACAACCTGTTTCAGATGAGCACACAAAAGGCTCTTAATTATATAAACAATAAACAATAAGCCTAAGTCACGGGTCTTGGGAATTGAGGACTATCTGATACAGAAGCAAAAGAAAAAGGAAGAGAATTTTTATTTTCCTCTTCCCTACAGGGCTAGACCTAAGTAAACTTATGATAAGTAGGTGGAAGGTCCTTTCCCAGTCCTGTCTACTCTGCCAATCTGATGCTCTTCTCTACTTCCCATTTCATTGTCACTGCTTTCATGCTTCCTCCTAAAGCTGAGTCGATCCTTGCTTTCACACAGTATTCTATCTCTAAAATTGCTTACCTTTCTCTTCCCATGAAACATTTTAGTTTTCTGAAAGTAAAGCAATGTGGGGTAACTTACTCACAATGACATGTGAATGGTTGACAGCTTCTGAACACATACAAATTATATATATTTTTATATATACATAAATATTTAGATACAAATTTATATATTTATATACAAACATAAATATATATGTTTTGTGTATATGTTTATACATACACACAAAAGTATTTATATAAAAGACATCTAATATATACACAAAATGTATTTTTTCCTTTTCTTTAAATAAAATGCTTATTAAATCAAATGAATTGGTACAATTTTGGGAAATGTAACAAAATAAAAATAAAAAATTTGGGAATGAAGACAAATTTTATTTCTGAGGAAAGAATGACCAACTAGGAGGTTCAGCCCAGGATGTCTGCTCCTAGAGTCAGCTTAAGCTAGCCATGCTTTTCATTTCTTCTTTTATCTACTTATATATCCAAGATTTCTATAAATGGTCCAACTTAAAGACTATCAATATGGGGTCAAGGGGCTCTGATCATAGCAGACTGGAGGCAGAACTAGCCAAATCAGTAAAATTCAAACCATGCTATTACTAAAGAGATACATTAGAATTTTACTCCAGTCTCCCGGCCCAGTTATTTTGTTACATAGAAGGATTTTCTTTTAATCCCAATCTCCTTAGTACTTATAATTACATATCAAAACTTTCTAGGACAAAGCACATGGGCATGTACACACACCTGTCCCCCCCCCCAACGTTATTTGTTTCAAAGGGCAAAATATATATCAATGTCTCAAAATGTAATATGTAAGGAAGAAATGATTAAATTCTTGGTTAACCTTTTTATTTGTCGAGTTTGGAAATCTTATATTAACACTAGTTGGACATATTTTTTAAAAAAATTAATTGTTTTTTATTAAATCATAACTTTGTACATTGATGTATTTATGGGGTTCAGGGTACTGCTTCAGTATACAATATGAAATGTTTACATTGAACTAAGTAACACATCCATCACAATTATATTCATTTCTTAATAGTTTTGAAATGTACCATTGCATCACGTGGACCTGTCTTTATAAATAGAAATTTAAGGGAGTTGCAAATGTTTAAAGTACTTGTCAACCATCTCTCTTTCTTTTTAATTTTCTCTTTTACCTTGCCTGTACAAGTATTCAACTGTTTATTTTTCTAGCCATTTCCAGGTAAAGGCACACGGGACTTGGTATTAATATTTCCAGAATGAAAGATTGGGGGATAGGGTAGAAAGCAGTCACATTACGCTCTTGGCTCAGAATACAAAACTTTATTCTGGAAGATTAAGAAAAAAAGTAAGAAAGATTAATTTCCAGATTCCCCAAATCTAGCTGATTTGGCCTATAGATTTTTTTTTTAAAAATAGAGACAGAATCTTATTTTGTCGCCCTTGGTAGAGTGCATGGTGTCACAGCTCACAGTGACCTCCAGCTCTTGGGTTTAGGCAATTCTCTTGCCTCAGCCTCCCGGGTAGCTCGGACTATAGGCATCCGCCACAACACCCGGCTATTTTTTTGTTATAGTTTGGTCGGGGCCAGGTTCGAACATGTCACCCTCGTTATATGGGGCCGGCAGAGCCACAGGCACTGCCCTGGACTATAGATTTTGTAGTTTAAGTGTCTAATAATTCATTCAACATCACAGATTTGTTCTAAGTATACAATGAGGCAGATAGTTCTGCTACTCTAAAAAGAAGGTCTCTTGCCTGTTTTTGTTAAGAGTCTCCTAAGGATAATAGGTCAAAAACTAAGTTCTTGCTGTCTCACTTAGGCAGAAGATTTTTCACTTTTTTCACGTTTAAAGGTTACACAAAATAATTTTAAGTGGAAACCTTGTTAGCAATTGGATTTTCCAATGGTTTATGTAAAGAAAACCAAGGAAATGGACCAAGTAGAAGCCAGACCCTGCAGCACTCACCCTTACCTGCTGTGTCTGTTGTCGCTGGATTGCTCTCACTTTGGGAACAGGGCTCTCTCTGGAGGAAGAAGACTGCTGCCGAGACCGGCTTCCATTCTGCACGGGTTCGGCCACAAGGGCTGCGGATGCCACTGACATGCTCCCGGTGCTACGTAAGGAAGCACTGTGTGGCAGGGATGGTGGGGCTTTGGCTCGGGCACCTAACCCAGCCTGGTCCATTTTTCGGATTTGGGCCTGCCCAGTGCTATTTTGTCGTGGCAGAGCAAGAGGTATGTGTCTGTCGGGTACAGTGTGACGCCTGGAGAAGTCCTCACTCTGAGTACTACGTTTGGTGAAATCTTCCATGCTGCTATTGCTGGGTCCACTGAGCTTGAAGTCTTCACTGTTACTTTGGCTTCTGGAACTGGCAGTGCTTAGGTTCTCCAAACTGGAATCTACAGAGGCCTTTGGCATTGCTGGAATTGGATTATTGAGGTGATAGACAGGGTTCTGGAATGATAAGGGCTGAAGGCTGCCTGGCTGGTTCAAGGCTGGATGCAGGGGCCTTCTCACTTGGGGTGCGCTCTGGGGAGTGCTCTGAGTTTCTCGTAGTTGCTTGATGCTGGCCACCTGGGTTATGGAAAGCTGGCTTCCAGTTAGGCGCATAGGCACATCGAGCATGACAGATGCGTGCTCTACTTGAGCAGCGTGAGTGTCCTGAAGGTCCATGAGGGAGATGCTCCGACCATTAGGAAGGCTACTTTCCTTTTCATCCTTTTCAGAATAAGTCATGCTCTGGGAGGAGGCTTGCTGAACCAGCAGTAATGTCTTCCCTCTGAAATAGCTGTCTGTGTTGTCCTGGCTTGGAGATTTTAGTTTATGCAAATCACTGTGGAAAAGGAGAGAACTCTCAATTTCTCTTAAGATAAGTTATTTTAAATACAGTTAAGATTCCTCAGTTGAGGCATATGAAACTTTCTGAAGCTTTATCGGCTCAGTGTGGATGCTTAAACTTCTTCAGAAACTCAGATTACATTATTACAATTTTCACAATAAAATTCAGCATGTTTAGTTTTCCCTAAAGATGGATAATTAATACCTCATCATTTTCATCAGTTTTTACTAGAATTCCAATAATTTCCTACTTAGGTTTCAAATCTCCCAAAGTATTCCAAATCATATTCAACTGGGTCTTTCTAAATCTTCAAAAAGAGAAGCACTAAGGGTAAAACTAAAGGGTCCCTGGTAAAGACACAAATATTGCCAATCCAAAAAACAAAGTTTACATCAGCATTGTAGCTACCTGTCCAGCTGACATAGCCTGCTATAAAACCATCTTAACTGAAGTTCTCCAGAGTTTTCAGAGCTATCATGTATGAAAACAATTTCATAAAGCCCTTCGTTTTCTATTAAGCAAGCTATAGCTTTTAAAATATATTTGTTGAATATATTCTAACTCTATACTATCATTCTAGAAAATAAGTTATCCCAGATCTTAAGCATTATTATGACAAATTGGGTGTGCTCTCAGATCAGATGAGTCTTTTCAACTGCTCATGACTTTAAAGTTGTAAATTCAGTAAGTTAAATATATTTCTACCAAATTTAAATATTATCTCTCTCTGAGATAGTAGTTCAAACCCTCTTTTTCATACCTGTCAGTGGGGTCTTCAAATATTTTCTGCAGCCCAGAAGAGAGGCTTCCACTGACATTTGGACTGGAGTTATGCTCAGTGAAGCGTCTCAGTTGCTGCTGTATGGGCGTAGGATTAGTCAGAGACTTGGTAATGTCAGCAAGAACACGAGGGAGAGGCCCCAATTTTGCCACGGTTGCCTGTAGAAAGGAATTTTCACCCTAATTGGATAATAAGCATTTCGACATCCACCACAGATTTTTTTGGACAACGATGCCCGTGGAGGGGTGTATGTTGGAGGGAAGGGTAGGTGTTTGCATATGGGAGTGGCAGGTTCATAATGCATTGTTATGGAGCAGCGGAACCATGGCGTCGAGATGAATGGAGGAGGCGAAACAAGGTGCAGCAGACATCGAGGAAAGAAAGGAAATAGAAATTAGGATTATGCAAATAAAAATCAAAAGACATGCTTAAAACAACCAAACTATTGCCATTCCAACTAAATTAGGCATGCAAAGCAAACTAAATCTTTGGGAGGCTAGTAAATCAAGGTGGGGGAGGGTAGGGGAAGAACCAAACACCTTTTAACCAAAAAGAACTTCAAGACCACAGGATCAGCTAGTGTGACAAACTTCCAAAGAAAATGGATCATGTGAGAAAAGAAATACATGCCAACATACAAAAAGGTGCTGCATTCAGGCATTCAGAGCATGGCAGGGCACACAGTTGATACTGACATCCACTATCCCAGTCAATCTTGGGAACCTTGACCCATTGCCAACTGAGTTTCCATCAATAAGATCATTTTTTAAACAGCAAAGTTAGGCAAACTCTGTAAGTCTGAATGTACTCCTGGTTCCCAGGACCAAATACAAATTAAAAAGGAGAAAGTGTGTTTACACAGCAAAGCCTATTAAAAAGACTTTACTGCTGAATAAACCAGGCCTATTTCACAAGATCACTGTCTCTGCATCTCACTGATGCAGTTACTCAACAAAGAACAACTCTTCAGTACTTGTATAATCCATCTCAATCATTTTTTCCTTTAGGGAATTCTTAGCCTCAGGAGTCTTATCTGTTCCCTCAAATGTTACATAGTTTTACATGGCTACCTTTGGGTCTTTGTCTTTGCAACAATCAATAGACTCTTGTACTCTACTCGGATGGGTACAAAGGCCAGCTGAAGAATGCTATTACTTGCTCAACAATATTGAGGTCATGATTCATGTTACAGAAATTTATCCTCAGCATAGCTGAAAACTGAAATACAGCTAGCATTTTGAAAAGTGAAGAAGAGGTCCTTGAGAGTAAGGTATGATTTATAAGTATTTTAAACACCAGTGAACACACTACCATTCGTGATTCCTTGGGAAAATGGTCTTTGTTAATAGGTTTTATCCCCCTCTAAGGTATAGCATTTTCAGGAGTAGGAAAATGGAGGATAACAAATAAATCCTTATCATAGAAAGTTTGTCTTTTAAAGTTACTCTAACATATGACCACACATATTTATACTGTACCTGTGGCAAACAAAAACATCAATAAATAATTATTCTGATAAACCTAGCCAGAGTTCATTATATTACTTTCTACTACAAAATCTATTCTTTTCCATAAAATTCCAGAAGGATAAAAATGATTGGCATGGTATACATTTACATAGTAATCTGGTATATGATAAAATTCTTATTTTAGAGCCAGAAAACAAATGATTAAAAATGATAATTGTTTCCTGTATTCTTAATTCACATCTGTAGAGAAAGAAGACTGGATTTTCAAATCCCACATGACTCTTAGCACTAATAATTATATGAAAATCTCTTACACGGTAAAGAAATTTTTTTCATGTGTAAAGTTATTTAAACATTATACACTCAGTATTTTCCTAAGTCTGTACATTTGTTACAAATTACTATATGAGGTTTCATCTTATCCTATCACATACGAATGGGGCTGCAAAAACCAATATATTGTAGTTTCTAGATGAGTTTTCAGATATGTATTACATGTATATATATCAATTTATAGAAATACATCCCATTGATTCAGATAACTACTTAAAATATATATTAACAAATTCATTGTTTTCTAAAATTTCATGGTTGTAGATCACATACTCAGAAATGATAACCAATTACTACCAGACTTTTAGGGCAAAAGGTCACTTTCATTTTCCTTCTCAAAGGAGGAGTGAATGCTGTTTGTTCTGTACAAACTCTCCAGAATCCAGGTACATTAAAGTTCTCTATCTTGCACCAGCCTACTTTACCTTATCAAGTTGGGAAACTACTTCCCACAGTAAGGAATGCAAAACTGAAAGCTCTCGGCCCAGATCAATGTAGCCATCAAAGCCTGGGGTGTTTGAGATGGTGTCTGGATTAGAGATCTCCAAAAGAAAGCGCTTCATTCCACCCCATTCATGTTCTAAAAAATCATTCATGAATGCCATGTATTCCTCTTTGTTACCAAACCTGAAGTAAAGGGTGACAAAAATGAGAAAGAACATATTCAAGAAGAGAGAGATGATCATTTTGAGTTGACTTTACACAGAGCTTTAACTTTTATTTAAATCTCTTCATAATTAGCTCTTACTTACCTAACAAATGCTTGTCAGTGCAAAACCTCAACATTGCTAGCTTCTTCAAAGTCTCCCAAATATATTATACTCTTTTTCTTCTCCAAGCCTTTGCTCATGCTATTTATCCACTAAAAAAGATCTGATCTTTGCCTGTCTAGATTCTAGTTATCTTCAGGGCTTAGTTTAAGTCTATAAAATCTGTTCCAAAATAAACTAGAAATAATTTTCACCAGAATTAGATCAAATAGGGTAAATATGTCTATTTCTGCACTGGCTTATATATAAGGTACACAAAATTGAAATAGTAAACTTCTAAAAAGTCATTCTTTATACTAGAAAAGAACCTGTTTCATTAAAGTTCTAATTTTTTCTTTAATACACTGTTAATGAAAACTTGTATTTAAAGTCTCAATACTGAGGTTTAAATCTGCAATTTGCAATCAATTTTGCAAATGTGAATTCCTTCCCAGTCATTTCTTAAAATTACTTTCTATAAGTTATAAAAATAATACGAACTTAAGAATACTTTGAAAATAAGGAAAAGCAGAAGGAAAAAAATGTAGATGTCATACTCAACTACCAAAACATATCTGCTGTTAACATGGGCCTGCATTTCCTCCCCACTGCTATCTCTTAACTTTCTTTTGACAAATTTTAAACCTACAGAAAAGTTGACAGACTATACAAGGTGGCCATAAAGCACACTATTTTAAATTGCTCCTGAACTTTATGGCCACCCTGTATAATGAACACCTAAATGCCTTTTATCTACATGAACCTATTGCTAACATTTACCAACTTTGCTTTTACTTTCTCTATTTCCATATATATACTTTTCTTTGGGAATCATTTGAACTTCTAAATACCCATTTCTTCAGAACAAGGAATATGCCTTACATAACCAATGCCATTATCCCACTAAAACATTTAAAAATATTTTTCATGAATCATCTTATATACAGTCCATATTTAAGTTGCACCCACTGTCCCCAAAATTACTTTTATAGATTTTTTTTTGCCAATTTAAAATCCAAATAAGTTTCAAGTACTGCATTTAGTCTCGTTTAATCTGGAACAGTCCCCTTCCACCTTTTGCATTTGTCATAACATTATCTTTTTCAAAGTGGCCAGGACAGTTGTCTTATACAATATAACCATAGAATTTGTCTGACTGTTCTTCACCACATTTTTATACTTACAGATTTCTTTTTTTTTTTAATATTCAGCCCACGCATTTTTAAAGATTTCTGTGTTTTTATATTGCTAGGATAATAGCATATACACCAATTTGCAGCCCATCCTTTTTTCCTAAGGTATTTTTATTAGTATTTTCCATTTAATATAATTTTATCTTCATCATGTTCCATACAATTGGATATTCTTTGTAAACAATGTTTGTAATGTTTGCAAATATTCAACTGAATGCATGTACCATATGTTACTTAACCATTCCTCTACAAAGCAAAAACATGTATTTAAGTTGTTTATAATTTTTTGCTATTTTTATTAACACACCATTTTGAAAATCTGGTAACATGACTGACGAGGCAGTCCATCCCCACCCAAATTGCATACTTCAAGTATTTTGTTAAACAATGTGTTTTTAAAGTGATTATGACAGGACAGCATCACCTACTTAGCAAAGTTGGCCAGGTTCTGGATGACCTTGGCAATGAGAGTTAGAGTCCGAGATGTGCGGTCATCAGGATACTCCTGCATAAGGTTGAAAAGACTGGGAGACATAATGGCTGGGCACAGAAAACGGAGAAACAATGAGGCACTAATGAGCCTCTCACTGATGTCTTGCTTGCCACGATTCAGGCATTGCTGCTTCCACGATGCAAACACTTCTTTCAACTCACGAGGAAAAACACTAAGGAAGTAAAAATATACCAAAACTTTTAAATGTAAAAGTACTACAACCTGGGTTCAGTGCCTGTACCTCAGTGGCTAGGGCTCCAGGCACATACACTGGAGCTGGGGGTTCGAATCCAGCCTGGGCCTGCCAAACAATGTCAACAATTACAATGATAAAACAGCCAGGTGTTGTGGTGGGTGCCTGTAGGCCCAGCTACTTAGGAGGCTGAGACAAGAGAATCACTTAAGCCCAAGAGTTGGAGGTTGCTGTGAGCTGTGACTCCATAGTACTCTACCCAGGGCAATAGCTTGAAACTCTGTCTCACAAAAAAAAAAAAAAAAATAGTAATAATCCAAAGAACAAATGACCCCATCCGATCTACTGTATCTCTGCTCCAAAGCCAGGCTATGAGGAAGACCTAATAGAGATTTGGGGAAGAGGCTCTATCTGATTCATGGCTGAGAGCTGGTGGAAAATTTGCAGAAGGCAAGGCTGTAAACTCAAAGTTACAAAACTCTGGATTGGTTTAAATTTAGTTTTACAAAGTGAGAAAATGGCATGAGGTCCCTGATTAAATCATCTGGCTTAACATAGTTTACCACAATCTGGTGAACATAAAGGCCATTCCCAAATCTCACCAACTGTTGGGGTTAGAGAGATTATCAAAATTCATGAACACATCTGTTCAACAATAGTAAATATTTTATAAAGTAAGAAAAATACTTTTAGTATTAGTTTGGTATTAGAGGCTATAGTACTAATACTCCAGGGAATGATTATATTTACATATGGCTTATGAAGATTTCAATTTTAGATAGGACTGTATTAGAGAAATGTTCAATTTTTCCTCTAAGCTCCTTCTTTGGTTGTGAAATAGCAGTTAACATTGTGCTGACTTTTATACGAAAAAATTTAAGTTCTATAAATAAGGGCTGAGGTAAGCTCACCAGTAAGAGTTGATGATCTTGCAGAAAGCCAGCTCACAGCACATTTTCAGGTTGCTTTGATGGTCTATCAGTTCACTAGATGAACATTTGCTGGGATCCACTTCACAGTTCTCATCTGACTCATACAAAGCTTTGATGAACTCCCCTGTATGAAGATACGAGGAGACAGATAGTATAATTATAAATAGTATCTTTCTGAATAGAATAAAAGGATTTAGGATTTCTGTCCCAAAATGTATAATGGGAAGTTCTTTTCTTGAATCTGACATGGAGGGAACCCAAGAGTCATCACATCCCATATGTCATGCTTATTTTCCTTATCCTGGAAGTAGTATAACAGTAATCACTCACATCACCATTGCAGTATTTATAAAAATAGTGATGATACTACCTTAGACAATGTAGTGTCTTTTAACTGAAGCCAAAAATATATTTTATTAGCATAAATTTATCATTTGTTATAAGGCTTGCTTTAATGGAGTGACTGTTCTTGTTATGCTAGAAGAACAAATAACTTCAGCTTGAATAGACCACTCAAGGTTTTAAGAGCTAATGTTGGTGCTAAAAACAAATCTAAGTAAGGGTCTCTAGGCTTACCTCTTATAGTGGGGAAAGTTATTTAGTGTAGCACAAAACTGTAGTAGAAGACCTCCTTGTTTAATCTGTATCTGTTTTTCCATATTAATTTTAGCCTAGAAGTGGTATTTATATAGCCTATCCTCTATGAAGATATTCCTACTATTCCCAGAAAGAACAAATAGCAACCTTATCTATTTATCCTCCACTATACATTATACCTTATATTTTTTACTGCTCTGTGTTTCACACTGTTTTGTGCTTATTTGTCTATCTCATTTCTTTCTTTTTTTCTTTTTTGAGACGGAGTCTCACTATGTTGCCTTCAGTAGAGTGCCGTGGCATCACAGCTTACAGCAACCTCCAACTCTTGGGCTTAGGCGATTCTCTTGCCTCAGCCTCCCAAGTAGCTGGGACTACAAGTGTTCACCACAATGCCTGGCTATTTATTGGTTGTAGTTGTCATTGTTGTTTGGCAGGCCCTGGCGGGGTTCAAACTTGCCAGCTCTGGTACATGTGTGTGGCGCCCTAGCCACTGAGCTATAGGCGCTGAGCCCGTCTGTCTTATTTCTAAGATGAATGCCCTTGGAGGTTTGGAAGTAGGCTTTATTAAGGTTCAAATTCTGAGTGTCTTGAACAGTTCCTCAAACACTGCAGCTGTTCAATAAATTTTTATGAAGAGATGGCAGTGTGTCTTCTTGGTTTTCTATAAGTCTTTATGAAAGAAGAGTGGATCTTTCAAAGATCCTTCCAAATACTCTTTTATTACCCAAGCTTCAGGCTAGTTATAACAGAGTTCATGTAAGTAAACAAAAATTCCTGCAAAATTAATAGCAGCAATATGAAGAGCATTTTCTATTAAAATGGTTAGCAATCAGATACATGAAAGCTTTTAAAAATAGCTATGACAAGGGATGAGAAGTGATAATTTTGGAAAAAAAATGTTTAGAGAATAGGAAGCAAAGCAGAACACAGAAAGTGATGCACAAAAAAATTCAAGGCTTTGGAGTCAGAGAGATCTAGGCTAAAATTCTGGATCCACCACTTACCTGATGAGGGGACCTTGAAAAGTCACTTAAGTAGTCTAAGCTTTAGCTGTCTTATTTATAAAATAATGTTAATAATACTACCTTGTAGAGTTGTGAGGATCAGAATATGCATGAAAAGTCTAATAGGGGCCTGGCACTTAGTAGGGGATCCATACAAAAAGTACTGTTATGTATAAACAACTTTTGTACATAACAACTTTTAAATTTAAATAACTTTTATATGTGCAACTTTTAAAAAACTTCTCTTCAAGTGAAATGACCAAAACTAGTAAAGGACTTTTTTTTTTTTCTTTTTGAGACGGAGCCTCAAGCTATCCCCCTGGGTAGAGTGCCATGGCATCACACTCACAGCAACCTCCAACTCCTGGGCTCAAGTGAGTCTCCTGCCTCAGCCTCCCAAGTAGCTGGGACTACAGGCGCCCACCACAACGCCTGGCCATTTTTTGGTTGCAGCCATCATTGTTGTTTGGCGGGTCCGGGCTGGGGATTCGAACTCGCCACCTTAGGTATATGTGGCTGGCGCCTTGGCCGATTGAGCCACAGGCGCCGAGCCATAAAGGACTTTTTAAAATGTTAACAGTTCTTGTAAGATAGATATTCAATGTGTTCTCCATATCTCCTATGCCATGTACCTCCACAATTTTTCTCATTTAAAGAGACCCTAAATTTAAAACTAACTAATCAATGTCAAATATCTCATGCAAAAATTGGCCAAACTCTAAATTTGTACCCTAAATATCTTTTAGGTTCTTTTCGTTTAGTCTATGGAAACAACACTACATTAATAAAAAAAAAATGGATATTAATATTTTCTTGTATTCTTTAAGAAAACAGCCACATCTAGTACACATCAACATTAAAGAAAAACTCAATTCAATTCAACTTGGGAGGAGGGGAAATAATGGAGGAGGACTGGTGTGCTCCCACCTAATGGGCACAATGTAAGGGTGTATGGCACATCTCTTGGGTGCAGGACACAACAAGAGGGACTCTACCTAACAAATGCAAAACAAACACTGTAACCTAGTTGTTCGTACCCTCACATTTACCTGAAATTAAAAAAAAAGAAAGAAAGAAAAAGACCATGTAATTAACTCCAGGGCCCAACAGTAGATTAACTGTCTATGGTACTAGCCTAAAAAAAATCTTTTTTACGTGATATATTTAAATCTCCAAAATAGAGAAAATTATTTTCACTTCAGAAACTATAACTTATGTCTGATCATGTGGAATATACTACATTGAAAGAAGTTTTTCCTTTTTTGAGAGAAAGAGTCTCATTTTGTTGCCCTTGGTAGAGTACCGCGGCATTATAGCTCACAGCAACCTCCAGCTCTTGGGCTTAGGTGATTGATTCTCTTGCCTCTGCCTCCTGAGTAGCTGGGACTATAGGTGCCTGCCACAACACCCAGCTATTTTTTTTGCTGTAGTTTGGCTGGGGCCAATTTGAACCCATCACCCTCAGCATATGAGGTCGGTGCCCTACTCACAGAGCTACAGGCACCGCCAAAAGCTTTTCTTTATTTGTCCTTAGAAAATGCTTACCTGATTAAAATTATTAAAACATTCAATAGACTGGTCTCTTGTCTTAAAAAAAGAAAAAGAGCCAAAGGGAGTGCTATGTTTTAAGTCTTTGCCCAGAATATGCTAGGACTTAAAAAAAATTTTTTTTTAAGGACAGGGGATCTCACTTTGTTGTCCAGACAGGTACAGTGGCTATTCACAGACATGATCCCATTACAGATCAGCATGGGAGTTTTGAGCTCTGTGATGTATTTTCTATGCAAATCATTAACTCATTACTATTTAGCATCAAAATTCCTCCCATCACATGTAGAAATTAGTCAACGAATATGGATATAATAGTACTAAAAGAAATTTGCCTCTGCCACAAATGAGGGCTTTTCAGGGACTTGTTTTCTATGCAACAGACGGCATTTCCTTTGTGCTGCAGGATACCTTTTTTGATTTCTATCAGAAAGGTAAAAGGGGGGAACAGATGGAGGATTTAAGTTCAAATGAGGTGGAGTCTGCGTAGAAAGAATAATGCTTTCATCTGGATAAATAAAGATTGGCTAAGAAACAGGTAGATAATGTACAAAATTACTTGCATATTTTAAAATTAATTCTTTCTGATAATTCTTCAGGTAGTCTGGAAATAACATGTCTTTTCTGCCCAAAGTGTATGAAACATAGCAAAACTTTCATAAGACGACAATATAATCCCTGTTGTGAAGGAGCTTACCAATTAATTGTTTCTGCTCTTGGAAGAAGCAGCTGTTTTCACTACCCTGGCCCTTGTTTGTGGATTACAAATATTATTTCAGAGATCTTTGAAAGGCTACTTGAATTTCTTCCCGTACTCACTGAATTAATTTTCATACCTCATGGAATCAATCAGCTATTTAATTATTCATGTCTTATCACAGTACTTGTATCAACTTTTCATTTTGGGAATTATTTCATTCAGAATTCCTGTTTAGCACACTGAATTTTAGAATATGAATAATTAATTTTGAAGAAGTTGCTGGTCAACAAACATTTAATCCCTATATCCACAGAACAGAGAACACTATTTGAGATGCTTCATTGTTGTCTTTTATAAGACAATACAAACTATTAAGCAAAACATGAGATATAATCTGTGACTTAATAATAAGCTCTTTATGAAAATGAGATTATGAACCTCTGTACCTTTCCTAACATCAGACTAAAGTATCTGATCTGACTTAGAGAAAAGAATGTGAAGATAAGCAGGAAGAGAAAAAATTTATTTCTACAGGGTAGGAACTAGTTGCTACCACAGTTAGTCAGCTTCATGTAAACATAATGGTCCTTATCTCTTGATCTCACTTTTTACCCTTTACAACCTGGCTTCTTTCCTCTGGATCCTAACCTGAGCTGTTATGAGCAATATTTAAGTTGCCAAATGCAACATTTTTTTCTTTATCTGTCATAATTTCTGACTCTACTGATGTTCTCATCTCTCTTGGTGTCTGGGACTAAGTATTTTCCTGTTTTTCATTCCTTTTTTGCAAGCATGCACATGCTATCTCTCTCTGTTCCCTTCTGATTCTTCTTCCTCATTCTGTACCTTAACCCAGGCATACTGAAGGTCTGCCTCTGGCTCTACTCCTTTTCTGCTCTGGTAATTTCCACATTGATTAGCTCCAAATTTCTAACAGACACTTCTAACAGATATCCTATCTAGCTTTCCTACCTAAACCCCCTGAGATTTCCTATTGGAACTTCAAACTGAATATGAGGTAGAAATATCATTACCCCTCTGTCAAGCCTACTATGTCTATGATTTCTATTTCTGTTAAGAATCTCATCATCCTCCTAGTCACTCACTAAAGCCTCCAATTCTTTGTAATATTTGCTCCCTCTTCCCATCCCACAAACTAAAAAAGTTGCAGATTCCTATCAGTTCAACTTTAATATTTCTCATATCCATCATTTCCTCTGTTCTTACCCAGGGTGATTACCCTCATTCAGAGCCTCAGAATTCTTTCTTGCCTTCTGTATTATAAAGACTTCTTAACTGATTTCTCTGCTTTCAGTGGTGTTCTTCACTAACCTGTCTTAATCAGCATGTTAAATTAATTCCATTAGTGGTGGTGGTGGGGGAGATAACCTGCTCAAAACTTTCAGCAGCATTACAAAGCTTTACAGTAGGATTAATATAAAATCTAAGCCCTCACCCAGGCATTCAAGGCTCTCAACAAATTTGTTCCAATTAATTCCTAAACTTTTTGTTGTTGTTCATGTCTCTTTCATGTCTTTTTTTCGGCTAAAAGGTTTTATTTCACACATGCCTGGTTCTCCCCTACAAGCATGCCTTTTTGTTTATATGGTTCTTTTCCTCTTATTCTTATTACTGCCCTTACCCAATGTCTGTTTTTCTATAACCTTTCTACCCTTCAAACACACAAAACCAATGTATTTCACATAGGAAATTTTACAATCCTATCACCTGGAGTCATTAAAAAAAAATCTCTGGAAAGAACCCAGAATTTCTCTCTTTTTATGGTATAGAAATATCCCTATTCTTACCTTTACCGTAAGCTTCCCTGAGGGCAAACATCTCTTTATAGTCATTCAATACACCTTTACTAACTGCTAAATGTCTACTCTTTTTTTTTGTTCTGTCTACTCTTGATAGTTACATGTGTTGACTACTAGAAATGTGGCTAGTGCAAATTCAAATGTGTGATAAATGTAAACTACTCACTGAATTTCAAACAGCATGAAAAGTAAACTACTTGATTACTAATTTTTATATTGATTAGCAATTAAATATTTAGACATATTAGGTTAATGAAATATTATTTATTATTGAATATTATTAATTAATATTAATTATTCTCTTTATCCTTTTTAGTTTATGGCTAGATAATTTAAAATCACATAAAAAATAAATAAAAATTACTCACATATAGCTTATATCATGTTTCAATAAGACATTGCTTTTTTACATTCTGCACAAATACTGGCAATATAGAGCTTAAAAAAATAGCTATTTTTTCAAGGAACCCACATCTGCTTTGTATATCAAAGTGCCTAGTGCAATGTCTTATTCTAGTGGTTAATGCTTGAATTTCATGACTCAATTGGAACTGCCAGGAGGGACCTCGTCAGTAAGAACAACTGATGGGACAAAATTAGTTATGTTAAATTTTTTTTTTTTTTTTTTTTTGCAGTTTTTGGCTGAGGCTGGGTTTGAACCCACCACCTCCAGCATATGGGGCTGGCGCCCTACTCCTTGAGCCACAGGCACCGCCCTGTTAAAAAAATTCTTGCTGGGTGCTGTGGCTCATGCCTATAATCCAATACTTGGGAGGCCAAGGTGGATAGATTGTCTGATCTCACAGGTTCAAGACCAGCCTGAGCTAGAATGAGACCCTGTCTCTAAAAATAGCTGGGCTTTGTGGTGGGCACCTGTAGTCCCATCTACTTGGGAGGCTGAGGCAAGAGGATCACTTGAGCCCAAGAGTCTGAGGTTGCTATGAGCTATGACACCATGGTACTCTACCAGGGGTGCCAAAGCAAGACTCCGTCTTAAGAAAAAAAATAAAAAGTTCTAGAGACTCTGAGGTAGAAATTTGTGGGGTAATTTCAGGAACTGGGAAGAATTTTTTCACTTTTGATTAAAATTTTGTATGCATGACAACAAATGTTAGGTTAACACACTCAAGACTCAGGTAATATATTTATATCATGATATAAATACCAAACTCTTTGGGAAAACAGGCTGCCTCAGGTCTAGTAGTGACACCCACCAATATTATTATTGTGTATCCCAGAATCATGAACTTAGGAATCTAGGAGTAAACTATTCTGATGGCTTCCTATTTCTGCAGATATTATGATAAACCAATCTATTGTTACTCTACTGGGGAGTGGTGAACAGACTTCTTATATCTGAAACTCAAACCATGACACTCTAGTCAGCTAGAACTAAATAACATGCAGAATTTAAGCTCACTCTATTTTATAAGGGCAAAAATAATTTAAAATCTAAAGGGAAAGAAAAGAAATAGAGGTTTTTCTCTTTCATACCCAGTGCATCATGAAGATACTGTTGTCCCACCAACTTGAGGTATTCCTCAATGGATTTGGTGGCAATGGTGTTCTCTCTGAAGATCAAGACATCATGTTCCCCACAACGATCCACCTCAGACATCACCAAGTCAGTCAGAAAATCCTGGTAGAATAATTTTCAATCAGGCAGAAAGTAACTGAATAAATAATATACATTAGAAGAGACTGATGAAATATCAGATATCTGTGAATGCTGCTTTAAAATTATACCTACCAGATTTGTTTGAAAGAAAAAAAAATCAGCATAAAGTCTTAGGTGTTTAAAATTAAGTTTAAAATTCCTTCAGAAATTTTCCACTGGATTCTTGATTAAGACCATCATCCTGAATGCAGCCTACAAGTCTCTGTCTCTGCCTTCCCAGTCTTGTCTTATACCTTTCCCTGCATCCTCCTCCAGCCTCAAGGGCATTCGTTTGAGGTCCTTTAATACATAAAGCCCTTTCTAATACATATTATTCTCTATCTATTCACCACAAAGTCTTTTTTTGCAAATGATATTCTTGGCTGTGCTCCACTCTCACCCTTGGTCCTCTTCCACTGTCATGGAGTTAATTACTGGGATCCTTTGGATCTCAGTTCACAGATAGGTACATATTTCCTCAGTGAACTTTCCCTGACTAACACTAACCACTAGTCAGGTCCTCTTGACACTTTCATAACACCACGTCTCATTTTACCCTTTGCAGTTCACTGTAATCACTCATTTATTTCTGTGATTACTTGATTAATACCTGTTGTCCCCAGAAAAATGTAAACCCCATAAGGGTAAAGACAGTGTCTATTTTTGTTTACTAGCACCTAATAGTTTCTGGCACATATTAGGTATTCAATGTATAAAAGTTATAAATTGGTCCCAAGTGTCAACATGGAATTTCTTAAACTCATTACTTGAACTCATTTTCTAGGCTATCTGGCAGTCTGCATGTCTGTCTATCCATCCATCTATTCTGAAGGATGGCATAAAGAAAAATAAAATCTTAAAGAAACAGCTGCTTCATTCCTTACTAGTTTTAAAGAACCCTATGTAAAATTCAGTTTGAAGTATGATATATTTCGAATGCCATATATTTACTGGATATTTCAAAGCCTCTAAACCCCCCAACAAAGAAAATATACTCTTTTACTTTTACTTTAAAATTAAATTAAGCATTTAAAAATAATTTTTTTTTTTTTTTGAGACAGTCTCACTATGTTGTCCTCGGTAGAGTGCTGTGGCATCACAGCTCGCAGGGACCTTCAACTCTTGGGCTCAAGCGATTCTCTTGCCTCAGCCTCCCAGGTAGCTGGGACTATAGTCGCCTGCCACAATGCTGGCTATTTTGTTGTTGTTGTTGTTGTCACTGTTTGGCAGGCTCAGGCCGGGTTTGAACTTGCCAGCCCCAGTGTATGTGGCCAGTACCCTAGCCGCTGAACTACAGGTGCCAAGCTAGCATTTTAAATAGTAGGACTTAGTTTGGGCCAGCTCGACAGTATAAAAGAGTTGGGGACTTAGAAATCATTATTAAAATTTGTACTAAGTGACAGAAGGAAACTTCTGAGAATGATGATAACATTCTAGATCTCGATTATGGTGGGGGTTTCAATGTGTACATAATCTGTCCAAACTCACTGAACTTTAAATGGATGTAGTTTATTGTACTTACATTGTGTATAAAGTGATTTATATCAAGAAACCTTTTTTTTTTTTGAGACAGAGTCTCACTTGTTACCCTTGATAGAGTGCCATGGCGTTATAGTTCACAGAAACCTAAACTTCTGGGCCTAGGCAATTAATTCTCTTGCCTAAGCCTCCCAAGTAGCTGGGATTACCAGTGCCTGCCACAATGCCTGGCTATTTTTAGAGATGAAGTCTCCCTCTGGATCAGGCTGGTCTCAAACCTGTGAGCTCAGGCAGTCCACCCATTTGAGCCTCCCAAGCGCTGGGATTACAGGTATGAGCCACAGTGCCCAGCTTATATCAGGAAATCTTTTTTTTTTTT